TATATCCCTAGGTCCACGCAAGCGGCTTTGGCCCATTCACTGCTGGCATGCTGGCAATTTGGGGGAACACTTGTGAGAAGAAGAGCATGTGTCCCCCTACTCCTTCTGTAAGCGCCACGCCGGCACGACAGCCCATTTATCTACTGTGAGATTAGTTTGCTCCTAAGGTCAGAAAACCTAAATTAATCCAGAGAGCACCTTAAGAATCAGGTATTTAGCCGGGCAGTGGTGGCGCACGCCTTTAATCCCAGCACTCGGGAGACAGAGGCAGGCGGATCAATGTGAGTTCGAGACCAACCTGGTCTACAAGAGCTAGTTCCAGGACAGGCCCCAAAGCTACAGAGAAACCTTGTCTCGAAAAACAAAATAAAACAAACAAACAAAAAAGAACCAGGTATAAAGCTTGCAAAGGAGGCTTCCAATAGCATGGGCCAGCATGCTGTCTTCAGACTATGTTCATCCCTACCTAGGCAGGGACAAATAAAGGGCGAGGCCCAAAGAGAAAAGACATCGTGTGACTATCGCCCCCTAGAGGTCAGAGAGTGGCATTGACGCCGAGAACGCAGCTGAGGAGGCCACCTCCTGCCTCCTCAGAACTGCAGGGCTCCTCTTTTGTCCCCTTTGGAGGCTGAGAGTCTACCAAAAACTGAAAACCACTGTTCAGGCTCAGTTCTAACAATAGAAACAAAAAGTGGCTTACTGTGGGTTTGTTTTTTGTTTTTTAAACCCAGACCTGTGTGAATAAAACATCCTCATGAAATACAATCTCAGTCTGCACAATAAGAGCCCAGTTTCCGGGAAATGATACCCATCCTACAATGCGCCGACTCTCACATCAAACCTCAGAAAGGTGGCAGCAGCCCCCGGGGGGGGGGGGTGATCTGATCTGATGTCCTCTACTTCAAAAAAGACTTCTAGATATGTGGATGGTGAGAAGACCTTTGTTAAATAGCCACACACACATACACACTTTGTCCTAACATAGCAAAGAATGTTTGGTTTGCCTTTGTTTTTCCAATCCCCCCCCCCAAGTCTATTAGTGTGTACTCAAATGTCTCGATTATTTTTAGGATCAATTGTGTCCTGTCTTCAAAAGACAATTTCTAAGAAAGAGAAAAAAGCCCTCAAACCCAACAGAGCGTATTCCTTTCTCTTTATTTGCCTTCTCTGAGCTTGGTCCCCGCAGTATTTGTGCTAAGGATAGGCACAATTTACTTTAACTTTAGTTTCTGTAAATATTTGGGAAGAAACCTAGTGTGTAATACGGTGCCAAGCGACGTGAGCCAGTAGTGAATGTATAAGAGCATTAGCAACTACCCAGCAGTAAAGGAAAGTGGCATTTTGATGTGGTCAGCCCCTGGCTTCCGGCCCTTGAAGCCCCGCTCTATGATGAACCATTAGATCAAGTTTCACCATGAACTTCACAGCCTCTCCTTCTTTACCCAGACTGTAAATGGTGGAGTCTTCAGTTCCCAGACAGGTGAGAAGGAGGAGACACAGGCTAGAGTTTCAACCACAGCTTCCCAGGAACTTGAAAAGCGGGAGGCAGCAAACTAATGCTATACAATGTAACGCATTGTATACAATGTAACAATGTATACAAAATACATGGATACAATGTAACAGTAATGGCACTGTCTGGGGTCAACTCAGCTCCTCAGCACTGAGAGTCCCCTCTTGAATGGGGGCAGGGACAACCATGCCACCTTGCAATGAGAGACACAGGATAGGCACCCTCAGGGCACAGCCCTGTTGTCACAGCCTGAGGATATGGCTCAATAGGTAAGAGCACTGGATGAGTGAGTGTGAGAACCTGGGTTTGAGCCTTATCTCCACGTTAAAAGCCATCAGGAGTGGCCACTAGTGCCTGTAACACAGAGCTATGGTGGGGGTCGGGGAACAGAAGGATCACCTGGGCTTGCTACCTGCTGACCTAACTCTGCAGTCAGTAAGAGACACTGTGTCAAAGGAACAAGGTGAGGCGAGATAAAGCAGGACACAAGTCATCCTCCACTGCTGACCTCTGCACACACTGTCTGTGAATGGATGCGCTTCTCTCTCCCCCCCCCCATAGACACACACACACACACACAGGCACACACATACACAAAACATATTGTTGCAGGTATATATCCATTATCCCTCTACTCCCTAGTATTACAGATGAGAAAATGGAGCTGAGGAAATGGCACTTTCTGGGGTCAACTCAGCCAGCTCCTCAGCACTGAGAGTCCCCTCTTGGATGGGGGCAGGGACAACCATGCCACCTTGCAATGCGAGAGGCAGGATAGGCACCCTCAGGGCACAGCACTGAATCTGGAAGACAGCAGCACTTTTTCTGAAGGAAGCTGAGGGATGCTGAGGCCCACAGCAACACTGGAGTAATGGCTGGGTTTCTTTTGTCTTTCCAGCTCATAGGCAAAGACATAGAAGAAGCCATCGAAGAAGAAACATCAGGAGACTTGAAGAAGGCCTACTTAACTATAGGTAAAGTAAAATTAGGAGGTGCTGCCCCAGGGTGGGTTCCCCAGAACTATGCTGAGAGATGGGGTTCTCCTTACAGGAATCATTTCAGAAGCAGCACTGGGAAGGCAGGAGGTGGATGTGATGGGGTTTTGTTCTGTAGGGAGCTCTGAAGGTGGGGTGTCCATAGTGAAGCCAGCAGCCAAGTCTCTGCACTCTGTTAGTGACTGCCCACTAACCAGCCACTGGACACAGGCTGTGCCTCCAGGACCATTCGCAACATTAAGCAGCCAGTTCCCTCACTTGGAAGGGGACTTCTGAGAAAGGACCCAGCTATCAGCAATCAGCTATCAGCAAGCAGCCTTGGCACTGAGTGTCTGGTCCTAAAGGGAGCATCTAAGAGGCCCAGCATAGTGTCTCCTGTGGTTGGAACTGAGGGTGTAGGTCCCCGAGAGCATCTGTCAAAGCCTGGGACTGTTGTCTAAGCTCAGGTAGCAGTGTGGTGACAGTTTATGACGTGCCCTGAAAAGCCCCCACAGTTAGGAACTCCGGACAAGTTTCTGCACATGCCTGATGGCCAGAGGGTCTCCTTTTTTTCCCACTGGATTCCCTTCAATGTTCTCAAAGAATGAGGTCTGTTTAGAAACAGAGGGGAGGGAGGCTCGATCTTGGCCATGCCAAGCCAACCCCAGAACCTTCTCTGCAGGTGTTGCCCAAAGGCAGGAAATAGCAAAGAGATGGGCATAGGGCCATGTCTGGCAGGCTCCCTTTTCCTTTCTCCAAGTCCTGGAATGAAGACACTGCCCATTGTCCACATTGCTGTGGTAGCGAGTCCAGGGAACCATCCCAAATGGCACAGGGATGGAGAGACGTGTCCCCCAGAAGAGGAAGAACCAAACTAGCAGCCCTGGAACCTAAAAAATGTGCTCCCATTGCCAAACTCCTTTGTGGAGTTTGGAGGATTCTTTTTTGTACAAGTTTTGTTTTAAACAGTGTCAGCCATTGACCTTTTCCCATTGTTCATTCTACACTCAAACCAGCCAACATCAGTCTGGTGTGCAGAACTCTCAATGTTACCCACACTGCTCACGCCCCACGCTGAACACACATGAGCCCTGTGTGAGCAGCTGTCCTTTGGGCTTCATGGAGGCTCCCCCAAATGGTTAGAGTGCTCTACATGAGTTCTGAGGGCCCAGACCTTGCCTGAACTTGAGACGTGAGAACCAGAAAGACTCCAGAGTCCAGTCAGAAGGTACATGTGACAGCATTTTCCTGAGTTGTGCTCAGTGTGGGATCAGAGGCACGAAAGATGCCGTTCTTGCTCATAAGGAGTTGAATGTCCACAAATGATGCACACAAATATATTAAGCCGCAGTGAAAAGACAGGAAACAGACAATAAGAATGGTAGAGAGGAAGGAAAAAGCCAGGCTCCGGAGTTGGGAGCTGTGTACTACAGGAATTGGTAGAGTCAAGGTTCCAAAGGTAAAAGCGGTTCAAGAAGACCTTGTACATCATCCTCACAAAGACTCTTTCCTAGATACCCCACCCCTACCCCATCTACTGTAAAGACATCCCTTAACTACATACAGGGATGCCACATCTATAGGGGCTGAGATCACATGATCACCACAACAAACACTTCTCCAGTGGAGCCCATGGACTGCCTGCCTCAAAATCTCCTTTTAGGAAAGTTTCCAGAACCCACCCCTGGTTTACCACAGAGAAACCAGAAAAGGGATGGTGCTTGGAAAGCCACTTTATAAGCTCCCTGGTGATGGTTTATGCTCAGTTAAGTTTGCAAAGTCCTGCTCTTTGAAGGAAAGAGGATCAAAGTATGGAGAGCCATGGCTCTCATTTCTTCCCACTCGACAGAGATGGGTCTATTACAGATATTTCCTAGCTGTCCTGGTCCAACCTTTCGAGGGATTTCTACTTGTTACTGACAGAGAGATGACCTTTGGACATCCATACGTGCTGTGTGGCATAGGAAAACCCTATGGATGCCGGCAGCTCTGATAGCCTGGGGACCACAGGGAACTTCAAGTATGTGCTTGTCAGAGAAGCACAGGGTTTCCCACCCACCTCAAACCAGGAATTTTGGGATTGCTGTTAGGATAAAGAGAGAAAATACCTGGCACTTTGGTTTTCCACTGAAACTTAGCTAACTGCTGTATGGAGAGAAAAAAAGAACAGCTCTTCACCTAGGTTCTGCTCCTCTCCCCCTCTCAGAAACGCCAACCACACAGAGAGTGAGTAGGAAATGAAAGCCCTGCTCTAGCACAGGTTAAGGTTCACATTCCACACTTATAGTGAATACATTACTATCACTAACACTGAAAAATTGCTGTAGTTCTAGCACTATGACTCCCGTCTGAGGCAGGAGGATTCTTGAGTTCAAGGCAGCCTGGGTTATAGAATGAAATTTTGTCTCAAGAAACAGAAAAAAAGTATAAAACAAAATTTAAAGAAACAAAATACTGGTATGCTTTCTAGAAGGCTATTGACAACCTAAGGAGTAAATGGTTTGTTTTTCTTAAGTATTTGCCGTGGTGGATGCCTATGAGCCTGGGAGGATGGGCGAGAAATGCTTCCTTACTGTCTTAGTTAGGGTTTCTATTGCTGTGATGAAACACCAAGGCCAAATCAACTAAGGGAGGAAAGAGTTTATTTGGCTGATCCTTCTGTATTGTAGTCCATCATTTGGAGGGGGCAGGACAGAAACTCAAGCAGAGCAGGAACCTGGAGGCAGGAGCTTATGCAGAGGCTATGGAGGGTGCTGCTTACTGCCTTGCTCCCACAGCTTCCTCACCCTGTTTTCCCCACCTATGGGACCTCCAGCCCAGGGATGGCACCACCCACAATGGACTGGGCCCTCCCACTTCAATTACTAATTAAGAAAATGCCCCCTTCAGGCTTGGCTACAAGCCGATCTTATAGAGGCATTTTCTTAATTGAGGGTCCCTCCTCTCAGACGACTCCAGCCTGTGTCAAGCTGACAAAAAAAACTAGCCAGCACACTTACCTCCAGTATCCAAGTTCACCCTATTGTCTGGCTGATGAGCAAAGAATAAGCTTCATCAGGTTGTAAACAGAGCAAAGATGGCAGACAAAGGAGGACCAGAAAGGAGTGCACAGCAGAAGCATAAAGAGGGAATCTTTATAGTAGGGACGAGAATCTTTGTCCCACAGACCAGATGAGAGATGCTGGGGTCCTGCAGGTGATAATACAGAAGACGCCCAAACAAATGCAGTAAAGAAAACAAAGAGTGCAGAGCTTTCTGGACACAGAAGGCAGGGCGTGGTCCAGCTGAGCAAACCTTCTAGCTCTGAGGTTCTATTACGGAAGGCTGCTGGTCAAGCTGTGTTTCCCACAGAGGCCTGCTTTAGTCCCAGAGGTCCCGCTGGGTAGCACCAGCCGTGTCCATGAGTGAGACCCCAGACCCCCACATTATGAGTGGGAGAGGGGCCCCTCTCCTTCCCCAGAGCTCGCCGAGAATCGAGGCCATCCTCCTCACTCTGCAGTGGATTGGACTCCGTTCTGGCTGGAGAGTCATGCTCCACTGACCCAGGGAACTTTCTAGATCTCATTTCACAGTAGTAGAAAGTCAGATCCTTCCGAAAACCTCTGCCTGTCAAGTCCAGATGGCCAACGGACCGCCTGGACACTCTGTGCCTATGCAGGGTCCCTAGATTGTCCCGCAAACCACGAAAACATTTCACATCCTCCTTTCCCTTTCCTCCCAGTGAGATGTGCCAAGGACCTCGAGGGCTATTTTGCTGACCTACTGTACAAGGCCATGAAGGGTATGGGGACAGATGAGAAGACATTAATTCGCATCATCGTGACCAGGGCTGAGGTAAGATACACTCGATCCCCAAAAGGGAACTTTCCCCAATCAGTGTCTTTTTCCCCAATTAATGTCATTGGCAATTATTATTATCATTATCATTATTATTGTTGTTGTTGTTATTGGACTACATATCAAAAATGTAAGACAAAGACAGCCCCTTCCTTCCCAGGATATGCAGAACGCGTTGGACTCTGCTTCAGCCCTCTTCTTTTCATTAAAATACAATAATAAGTGCTGCTTCTATTTTCGTCATCTGTGGCTCCAGAGAGCTGGTGACGCTGTGTAAAGGGGAACTGGTGGAGTTGTTCCAAGGTAGCACAGTCACGCCCAGCTCTGTTTCAGGGAAGACAAACCAGAGGCAGGGAAAGGGGTCATCCTGCAGCAAGACGGAGATAGAACGCAAATGATCTCCTCGGTCGCTTCATTTAACAGAGCACACCTTAGAAGTATGGCTTCTCAGAAAACAAACAAAAACATCAAAACCAAACAAACAAAAGACCAATAGAACGGCTTCTTGGTCTTTTTCTCAATCCTGACCTCTCCAAGAGCCACGTTAGACAGACTTATGTCTGATTACCATCTCTCGCACAGATAAGACTGAGTATCTGTCTATGCACCACCTGCATATTAGTGCTTTACACATAACAGAACGGGGCTTCTTTTACTGCCCGAGGAGTTTGCACCCCATCTCAGAGAAGAACAGGAGCATTAGAAAGAGGGGGGGAGATGTGCCCAGGAACTTGGCAGCAGCCACCAGGCCGCACATCGAACACTTGGGCTGTCAGACCACGGTCAGAAGGGGGTGTGCAAAGAAGGGGAAGTGGCGGGCATTTCACTGCTGTGGAGGAAACCAAAGGAGCTAAGCTGCTGAAAACCCACAGACATCTTTTAAAAAGAAAAAAATGTTCAGCAGAGAGGGAGAGATACCAGCCCAAATTCTGATCCATGTCTTTCGACAAACACTTAACATCTGACGTTGTTTTTAAATATAGCCTCACAGCAAGGCAGTTCTTTCCTTTTTATTTCTGTTCCTGGAATTTTTCCTCCCCCTCTTTCTCCTCCTCCTCCATGCCCTCCCCTCCCCCCACCCCCTTACTCCTGTGAACAGCCTCTCTGCTCCTTGGAAGTTTGCTTTCTCTAGCCTGTGTGAGTCTCTCTCCCTCCCTTGGGGAGGGGGGCTTACCTTCTTTGTCCCTCCAGCCCTCAGCAGCACAGCCCCTAGAGAAGTCTTGAGAGGACCAGGGCTCTACAGGCCCTGAGAGATTGGACCTCACCAGAGGGCTCGCCAGCATTCTAGGTTCCCTTGGATACAGACCATGGGATGTTCAGTTCCAACTCAGAAGAGACCCCTATGTGAGTGTAGGCAATCTCTACCTGTGGTCAGTCCCCTTGGAATGCTTCAGGCCCAGGCACATATATGTTTAGGGGACCCACTCATCTTCCTCCTGCACTAGAACCAAAGGCCAGCTTCCCCAATCCTGTTCCCCATCCTCCTCCTCCTCCCCCATGACTGGGCCTCCAGCCAGGCAGAGGATGCCCGAGCAGGGCAGCAGGGCCACTCACAGCATCCATCCTCCAGTAGTCTCCGGCTTGAGAGCAGCGTCCTCTTCAGACAACCCCTTACTCCCTGACCCTCTCCTATCTTTCCTTCTTCTCTCTGTCTCAGCCTGGCCTCTCACCGAAGCAAGAGAAGAGAGCCCAATGGTTGTCTGGTTGTCTACTGTTTGTAGGCCTGGCTTGTAAGGCAGAGTTCAAACCAGAACCAAAACACGGCAAAAAAAAAAAAAAAAAAAAAAAAAAAAAAAAAAAAAAAANAAAAAAAAAAAAGAAAGAAAAAAAACTGTTTCATTGTAGGACTAGTTTTGTCCCATCTGGAGTCTGGAGTTAATCCCCCCACTTGTGCAACCCTTGCTTTTAAAGCTGAAAGAATCTGAAGCAGAACAGTGAGTCTTTGGAGCAGTCTCCTCCTAATGGTCCTTCAAGCCCAGGATTCTTAAACTTTCCATGAATTAGATTCAAAATAAGCCCTACACATGCTGATTGGTTTGGAATGTGTCCACTGGAACTGTTGTCCTGCCTGGTGCCCAGGGAAGCAGAAACAGGGCACTGGATCCCTTTGGAATTGGAGTTATAGGGGGTTGCTGGGAATCGAACCCGGGTCCTCTGGAAAGGCAGTCGGTGCTCTCAACTGCTGAGCCATCTCTCCAGCCCACAATGCTTGACTTCAAATCTCTGTCTGGAAAATCTGCTTACCCTTCTACCAAATCCCGTCAGACTGTCTTGGAAAGCAAATGGGGCTCACCTCCCACCTGCTTGTGTACAGCTCTGCCACCCGTGAATGACTCCTTCTCGAAAACTTATAAAAAATGCAAAAGAAAAATACTTTGTAACACATGGAAATATATGCAATTTAAATTTTAGCTTCCTTACATAAAGTTTTAATGGAATACATGTGCAACGCTTCTACTTTTAGGAAACTAAAGCAGGCTTCCCTTTTCTTAGCCTCAAGATGTAAATAATGCCAGCTCAGCCCCTATGGGCTGTTTAAAGCTATAATAAATGATTGTGATGCCTTAGGACAGTGCCTGCCTTTTACAGTCAACACACCATCAGTATTGTCACCCACGCTGTTGTCATTGTGCCTACAGGTCGACCTTCAGGGGATAAAAGCCAAGTTCCAGGAGAAGTATCAGAAGTCTCTCTCTGACATGGTTCGCTCCGACACCTCTGGGGACTTCCAGAAATTGCTGGTGGCTCTTTTGCACTGAGTCAAACCAGAGCAATAGGAACGCAGGGAGAGGCTACTTTATCGGGACTCCTGAGCATAACAAATCAAGCTTGAAAATGGGGCTTTTCCATGAAAACCCTTCATTTCCTGGATTGCTTCCTCAGCCATGCAAGGTACCCCAAGGCCAAACTGTTGAAATCAATAATAGCACATCCTCCCAACGCTTGAGCGGTTCACCTTGAATGCCGGCTTAGCAACAACCTAAATTGCCTCTCGATCTTACTTTAGCATTTTAAGTGAATGCTTTCTAAGCACATATGAAATCAGCGGTTGGTGAAAAAAAATGAACATTTATAATAAAATGTTTAGAAAATTATATGCCGTCCAGATGCACAGGGCCAAAGCAGAGATTAAATGGCCAGAGCGGAATAAAGACAAGATTAAACAGTTTGTTCGTTTCCCTTCTGTGTGTTCAGTTTCAAAGTCTTTCTGTTAATCACAGCTATGGTTTGTGCCTCCGCCAGCTGCTTTTCCAAACTGGCTTGATGAACTGGGGTTCTGGCCTGGGGAAATATAGAACTTGTGATATATTTCAAATGTAGTGGGGGATGGCAAAGAGTGACATTTATCAACCGTCACCTGGATGGCAGTCAAGGCCAGCATCGAGGACAGAGAAGACCCGCCTCTGTGAAATGCAACTCGAAGGGAAACTCACTAAGTGTTCCTGGTTCAGCTGGGTTTCCTTGCTTCTCTGGGCATAGGGCTCACCTGAGTCTTCCTTCTGATCTTCAAACACAGGTAGACTAAACAAAGTGCCAACAGGCTCACAGTCAATGCCCTGCTTCTCAGGTGGATTGACTCTGCAATAACAAAGTCTCCATTCCCAGATGCTGGTCTTATAGCCTCATGGAGCCAAGCAACAACTGTCACGATAACTTGGACACCCTGGGCAAGCCGTCATAGCTATCCTGCACTGGATGAGATCTGTGCCTGGCAGCTGCTCAGTATCACAATTTCATACCTAACCCATAACCCTATGGCGTTAGTAGGACCTCCATACAGGACTTGAAGAAACTGAGGTGTTAGTTCACCTGGCTAAAAACCCATTTGTAAGTAACAGAATTAGAATTCGTATCCCAAACTGGATGACCGTGAAAACCATGCTAGAGACCACGTTTCTCAGGAAAGTAACATGAAGGATGTGTGTGTGAACGAGTCAGCGGTCATTAACCCGCTTATCTTCTGTCTTCCGTTCACTGTAGTGGGCTCCACTGACCAGGGTAAGAACATACGGGGCTGCCCCTTATGTCATATTGAAGCCGGTATTGAAAACAGATGCCCCCATTAGTGCACAGAATGTTGTCAGTTCACCAAGAAAAGCAGATAGTTCAAATGCAGAGGCTATATAAGTGTCTACGAAGTGCTCAGACATAAACGGGACATCTGTACCACACATCCTCCTCTTGTTGAGGCTCAAGAACATCCCAGACAAGGAGACAGAAGGGTTGTAGGAGCCACTGTGGTCGAACAGAGACTTCTGAACATGACATAAAACTACACTCCTGAACTCAGAGCAGCTGTGGTGGCCTGCGCAAGAGCTACACATGACAAAAGCAGACAACATTCCAACACTGGAGGGGGACAGGTCATGAGCCCCATTCCCAGCTGAGGAGCCACTGGCAGCTTCTTCATGGGTGTGGCCCCAAGCAGGCTGAGAGGCCAAGAAGCTTTAGTGGGCAGGGGTCTTTTGGTACATGGATGCTATGAGATTAGTACAAGAATGCTATGAAATTGGTACATGGATGCTATGAAATTGGAACATGGACGCTATGAGATTGGTACATGGATGCTATGAGATTGGAACATGGATGCTATGACATTGGAACTTGGATGCTATGAAATTGGTACATGTCCTTCCTTGCATGCCTTCCCAACACATTTTGCCCACTGTGTTTGAGAGGTGAGACTTCTACATGCTAATGTACTATTGCTTATTGTCCCCAACTCACATTCCATGACATGATGTCAGCATCTTGAAGCAGGCTCCGGTATCTACAGTGAGGGAGCTGACAGATCCTACAGATCGGGTCCTACTGTTCGGTACTTACAACTGTAGCCCGACACATCTCATACAACGGTGCTCGATACCCGGTCTCTCCATATGCAAATATACAATACACATGTCGGCATAGACAGATCAAAATCCATGTGCGTTTCTATTAAATGGGTTCATATGCTATCCTCAGCTATTATCAGGACCACATGGTTCTTGCTAGGAGGCCAATTGACATCTAAGAACAAGACAATGAGGCAAAATATTAGGAGGGAAACTTCTAGAGTAAATCCTAAGAATCAAGAAAAATCACAGTGTCCAGCAGTTGCCACTGACTGTCTTTCCATTCCACTCAGCAGGATTTTCTTTTTCCTTAATTTACAATCTAGAAATCTCAGTTTTACAATCCAGCAGTACTTGGCTGGAACCCGCTAAGTGCCGTGACTTTGCATCACAGTATGGCCGAGTCGTGGAAAGTAAACCAAGAACACATAAGAAGAGTGTGCATGCATGAGCCAAGAAGTAGGAGATGCCAGACTAGCTTACAACAACCTAGCCACTCAGGACTCCTCAGGAGAATAAGAAGCCTCAGTCCTTACAAGACAATCCCCTGTGATCCAATCTCCTTCCACTAGGCAACTTGTAAAAATCCTAACAGGTCATCAGTCCACACCACAGACCACGACTCTAGTGTCTGAACTCTGGAAAAGCACATCAACATCCTGTCTACCTACATGCATGTGCACTTACAGAGATAACTTAATTTGTATAAATAAATTCCATTTGCATAAACTAAATGTACTATTATTTGTGGAAGCCAGCAACCTGGTGGATTTTGTAGGAGAAAGGATGGGCCGTTGCTGAATGTCCCTCAAACTTCCATCCCCCTTATGCCTAAGGGATTGTATCTTAGGCTCTGAAGAGAACATTCCGTGGCTTCTTTGTAACTAAAATAAAGATATGGATACCTTCTGCTTTTAAAGCAACCAACTCCATGAGTTCCAAGCATGCTCAGCCAATACTGACTCCACACAGAAGAAGGAGGGAAATCCGAGAGATAAGCGCAAATGGGAGAAATCAGGGGAGCTCAAATTAGGGCTAATCCCTGGAAAGTCAACAAGGCTTCCGGAGTGGGCTGGGCCTCTTCCCAGCTGGCAGGAACCATCTGTTCCGTGAGCACCTGATTTGTGTGGAGCTATTGATTTATGTGGGACACCTATACAATAAGGTACCGATCACTGCCAACTTCGGTAGGCTTAGGGTCACTTCCCTGTTAGTGATTTTTTTTTGTGACTCATTAGAATTGCTTAGAAGATAGACAGCTCAAGACAAAAGAGACGTGAGACATTTTTAGACTCTGGACTAGAAGACAAGGACTGATTCTGAATCCTTCCCCACAGGGAGGAGTGATGTGGACTAGGATAATGTGACTCACCAACCCAAGTGGACGGCACTGGTTATCTGAACTCCAAACCTGATCCAAGGATTAATTTTTTTTTTACTGCCCTGAAAACAATATTGATGTTGTTGTTTTTCAAATCCTACTGAACCAGTCCAAATTGGAACCAGTCTTTTGAAAAGGTTGGGCCAGGGGGGAAAACAAGAACCATAAAAGCAAAATCATTTCCACACAAGTCTTGCGTTCCCGTCTTTGCCCAACACCAGTGTTAACTGAATACATGTATTTCTGTCTAGAGTTCTCCTCATTCAACCCCCTTAACCTATTTGTCCGAACAGCTGTTGAGCTATTCTCTCTGCAAAACCTATTGGTGGGTTCAGGGTTGCTGTTTGGGCTGGCAGCTTTTGGGGTGTGAGTAGGAGGTCCCCTATCTTCTGGAGGATCATGGATTTTGCAATAGCAAACTGTATTTGTGTCCCAGTCTATTTATATCTGTTGTGTTTGCCAATGTTGTAAAATAATGTCATTAATTCTTAAATAGGCTGATCAACTATGAAGAGAAAGACCTGTCTCGTTCCTGTGAAAGTCGAATTGAATATGCTGAAGGAGAGGAGGAGGAAATGAAAGAGATGATTAAACTCATCATCAACTTGACTAGATTGAAAATCACCTAGGAAACACTCTAGACATGTCTGTGTGCAGATTTTCAGAGATGTTTTAACTAGGGAGGGAAGATCTACCCTGGGTATGGGCTGCAGCAATCCACAGGCTGGGGACCCAGACTGGATAAAAAGAAGGAGCAGACTGAGGGGCAGAATTCTCTCCCTGCTTTCGGACTATGTATAGTACAGACCAGCTACGTCATGCTCCTTCACGCTCCTTCCTCAGTCCTTCGCCACTACAGTGGAATATGTCCTCAACCTGTGGGCCTGACTAAGCCCTTCCCTTCTTCCTTCAGCTGCTTTTTCTGTCATTACAAGAAAAGTCATAAAAACACCGCATGCCCGTTTGTAGCTCATTCTTCAGTAAAAGTTCTCAGTAAATCGATACCCATTTTCATCTCAAACATAAACCTCTGAGTCACTGCTACAGGCTAAGATACAGAGATCCATCAACCATCACCTGCACTAGAAGGGATGGTTTCTACTGTGTGCACATCTTTTCCTCCTTCTGAGACATGAATCCCTCTGTGATCACCACCCCAGCTTCTTTTCTGGTCAAAGGTCTCATGACCCTGTCACCATCTGCCCCTCTTCCCTCCTAGCCCTGACTGGAGTGAGTGAAAACAAATGAGAAGACACACACCTTATGTCTGCACACCTTGCTCTTCTGGGACCCAACTGTCTTATCTGTAACATGGGGACGAACCTTCCAGAAGCTCCCCTACTGAAGAGTCCAAAGCGAAAGAACTTTCATAGATGAGAACAAACTACCTCTGGAGAAAACAGGGCAACTCTGCTGGCTAACAACAGGTATCTTTAAAGGATGGATATTTAATGTCCTTTGGTTGTATGTGAATGTGTGTACATCCATGTATGTGCAGGTATACATGTATGTGGAGGTTAGAGGACAACCTCAGTTGTTCTTTAAGCACCATTGATTTTCAATACATCATTTCTCTTTCTCCTGGAGTTGACCAAACGACTAGGCTGGTATCAGGGATCCGCCTTTATCTCCCTCCCCAGCTTTATCTAGAATCACAAACGTGCATCACTATGCCTAGAGGGGTGTGTGTGGGGGAGGGGGGAGGAGAGAGGGAGAGAGAGAGAATGTGTCCTGATTCTTATATGTGGCTTCTGCTGCCTGCTGCTGTATCATTAGAGATTCTATCCCTCTGGAACCACAGCCAAAATTAACTTCTTTTTCTTAAGCTGCTTTTGGTCATAGTTTGGTCACGATTGCAGCAACAGAAAAGTATACAAATGCCAACCAGCACGCCCCTCCAGCCCCTTCTCCATCACAGACTGACGTCATAGCACTGACCTCCAATCCTAGCAG